GGTGTGGGGGGGGGGGAGGTGGGAGGGACTTGATCTGGGTCTAGAAAGGTCTGGGGAGGAGGAGCATGAAGTGGGGATAACCTGAGTGAGGCGGGGCTGGGGCCTGGGTGGGAATAAGCAGGACCCCGTGAGGACTGGGGGGCTGCATGCCAGTGCCCATGATGCACCTGCCAGGCAGTGCCAGGCCCTTCAGAGTCACCCCCTCTCCCTCCTCATGACAGACAGCCCATTAGGGAGGGGCCAGCAAACACCTGGTTTGCAGATGGGTCATCAGAGACTCTGAAGGTGACTTGCCCTGGACCCCCCGCCCCCCCACACACACACACATAAGTCCAGATCCCCCTCCGCCCCTCCCTGCCCCTGCAGGAAGGAGACCGGTGAGATGGGGTAGGCTGAGGCCCATGCGGGCAGCGCGGACTTCCCCTGGTACCACACGGGGACTCGCCCTCTGTCCGGTGGACCACACAGCGAGGTGGAAGGGAAGCTCGCTCAGAGTAGTCAGCACTGTCTGAGCAGTTTCCTCCGGGAAAGGGTTTGTTTGCGTGAATAGCTGACCTTTGATGTCTGTACATGGAGCGTCTGTGAAATCAGCAAATTAAAAGTAGTGAGGAAAGAGGTGTCACTGGTGAAGATGGTGACACCAGCACTCTCTCCACTGTCTCAGAAGGGTAGGAAAGTGGGGAGGGGAGAAGAGAGAAGCCAGCCGTGTAGTGAGGAAAGAGGTGTCACTGGTGAAGATGGTGAGGACACCCGTGCCTCCGTGTTGCCCTCAGCAGAGAAGAACCCGGTGGGCAGCCCCATTAGGACACAGCTGCCCTCCCAGGTGCCCCATGCACCGCTTTGTGGAAGGGAAAAGTGTGACCGGCTCAGCCACAGCGCCCCCTGGCTGGGAAAATGTTACCACTGCTTCCAGCTGGATTGCCATAACAGAAAGAAAAGGTTTAGTGGATTGTCGTATTGTTTTTGAATTCTAGACAACACACCCTTTTGCCTGCACCTGAGCAGATGCTCGCTCTCCCTCCCCCACCACCTGGGGGCGCTGCATGGAATGCTCTGGGCCTCTTGGGAGCTTCCTGTTAGCATTGCTTATTTCTGTGTGTGTCAGTGCTCCCTCGACGGATTTAACAAGCTGCTCTCATCCTGCCAAATCGGTGCTTCACAGACTTTGATTGCAGTCACCCGGGAACTCGTTTAAAATGCAGGTTCCGGTTCAGCAGGTCAGGGGTGGGATTCTGGCTCCCGGGCGGTGATCACCAATCCCAGGCTGTGCTTTAGGAAAAGCCTTGTAGTCCGTGTCTGGCCACTTCCATGCATGCTGACCTTTCTCTCCCTAATTATAGGAAATAGAATACATTTCTAGAATGGAGTTACAGGTATTGAATTTTTTTAATTGCTTTCTTCCCTGGCTCTTATTTTTCCCGTCATAATTCCCAAAGCATAATACTTGGTAGGCTAAGCATGTTAGCGGTGGGCCTGCTCACTGCCTCCATGGTCCTGGCCTCCTGATTGTTTTTTTTTTCCTTTCTTTCTTAAACTAGAGCACTGCTCCCCCTTCCTTCCACAGGATCACCTGGTTCTGCTTGCCTGTTGCCATAGAGACCACTCTGGCTTCTCTCTTCTCCCCTCCCCACTTTCCTACCCTTACCCTCCCACCAGATTTCTTAATGTGCTGTACCATTCCACCGTTGTCATGGGGACAAAATGACCATTCATTTCATTGGCACCTCTAATAAAATGGCAGCTCAGAAATACAAGCTAATGGGACCCAACTTGAAGCATTGATTAGGAACGGCCAAGCAAACGCATGGTCTGGTGGTTTCAAATTGCCACCTCGCTAAGCCTCACCACACAGCACCCATCCCCATCTAGAAATCTGTTCGCTGGGCGACAAGTCAGGCCTCTTAAATCAGTTCACGCCGAAGGGAGCCCACCGGAGCACTGTGAACTCCTTAGGTGGCATTGGGGAAACAGTGCTTCTCTTGCTTTTCGTGTGCTCTGCGAGGCACTGAGGGGCGCTCCTGCACCTCACAGACACACCTGATAGCAGGTGTAAACATTCAGAGCAGGTGGCTTTGTCTGAAGGGCTGTGGTTCGAACGCGCTCCTCTGTTTCAGCATTCTTTGCTCTTGCTTCCCACAAATTCCTGGTGTCATGGGGTGTGATTGTGGGGAGAGAGAGAGAGAGAGAGAGAGAGGAGTGAAGGGACTCAAGCCCTCTAGCTGCTCAGCCATGTGCCCTGAAGCCCTGTCCTGAGCTCCTAAGACCCCGCTCCGGCCACTCCCAGCACCTAACACATTTCTTGGCACATTGCAAATGGTCTATAATATTTATTAAGTGAACGAGAAAAAGGAAGCACTCAAAGGGAAAAGAAATACACGCATGAATGATGTCTGAGCAAAACCCTCTGCCTACCTGTTTTTAATTTTAGAAATAGGTGTTGCTAAGCACAGTGTGGTGTCGGCAAACATATTTAGGAAAGAAAAAAAAAGCACAAGGAGGGGTGAAATCAGAAATGAGAACTGGAAGAGACCGTAGTGGGTGGCACCGGATGTTTTGCTGATGAGGAGACTGAGGGGAAGGAGGGGCACAGAGCGTCCGAGACCCCACGCCCATGGCAGCAGACAGACAGCTTGAGCCCAGGTTTCCGGACACAGCAGAGTCCTCTGCACCAAGCCCTGCTGTCGGCAGCAAAAGCCAGAGCTCGGCGTGGACGGTGGGCCTGCTGACCTGCAAAAGGCCAGGGAGAATCCCGCTCAGCTCCTCCGCTGCTGCACTCAGAAATCATCATTTCTCGAACCAGGGCGGTTTCCCAGAGATGTTCCAGAAGCCACGGGAGACGCTGGTAACTGCTGCCTGTGTGTGTGCACCAAGTCACTGGAAGCCAGATTACAGCCGGTGGGAGGCTCACATCCCACAGAAAACAGAGCAGTTCAGGAAACAGGCCGAGACGCTGGAGGTGGGAGCCTGAATGGAGCCCCTCAAAATGCACGCATGAGGGGACAAACTGGAACCGATTAAAGGCGGTGGGAAGCCCCAGCGGGGCCCTTGAAGAACCCTCGCCAGGTAGGAAAGCCAGCTGAAAACACAGCCCACGCGAGGCTGGAATGAAAGGCGTGGGGCACATGTTCGATCCTCTGCGGCTCTCCCTGGCTCCTGGGTGGAGCAAGCCTGACTCGTGAATGACAGGGTCCCTCCCGTGGTCTGTGGAGGATCAGGGCAGAGGAGAAACGCCTTGGGTTTGAACCCAGACAGACCTGGGGTTGCATGTTGATATGGGTGAACTTGGGTGTGTTGTTTGGTAGCTCTGAGCCTGTTTCTTCTTTTATAAAATAGGCCTAATTATAGCTGCCATTTTATCAAGGACATGAGGAGACAGCTCCTGCGAGCCTCCAGGTCAGGGCCTGGCAGGAGTCGGGGTTCAGGGACAGGTGGCTCAGCAGGTTTCAACATCAGCATGGGTGTTGAGGGACAGCAGTCTCAGGGGCACTCACACATGGCCAGACATACAGATGGCCGACCAGGCATCTGGCCCACCAACTCGCCCACAAGCCTTACCCACACCCCAACACTGCTGGCCCCTGTCCCACAGAGCACCCTGGCTGCTCCCTGTCCCTCCTCAGTGGCTGGTCCTGGACACCTGTCCCTCCTCAGGGGGTGGTCCTGGATACCTGTCCCTCCTCGGGAGGTGGTCCTGGACACCTGTCCCTCCTCGGGGGGTGGTCCTGGACACCTGTCCCTCCTCGGGGGGTGGTCCTGGACACCTGTCCCTCCTCGGGGGGTGGTCCTGGACACCTGTCCCTCCTCGGGGGGTGGTCCTGGACACCTGTCCCTCCTCGGGGGGTGGTCCTGGACACCTGTCCCTCCTCGGGGGGTGGTCCTGGACACCTGTCCCTCCTCGGGGGGTGGTCCTGGACACCTGTCCCTCCTCGGGGGGTGGTCCTGGACACCTGTCCCTCCTCGGGGGGTGGTCCTGGACACCTGTCCCTCCTCGGGGGCTAGTCCTGGACACCTGTCCCTCAGTGGCTGGTCCTGGACACCTGTGCCTGCTCGGTGGCTGCTGGAGGAGAGGCTGCCCGCCCACCCACAGGCCCCTCGTTTAGGAACAGCTTCCCTCTCCACTCTGACCCTTTGGAGGGTAGGCACTGGGGCTGACCTTGAGCCTTTCCCGTCAGCTGGCCTCCTCAGGTGGAAGTCAGTGGGGCAGGCGTGCTGAGATCTGCCCGCCTCAACCCTTGGAGCAGGGCCTGGGCAGCAGCGCCTCCAGCCAAAGGGTGCAAATCAATGTCTTCTCTGTGTACGTGACTGGAAACAGGTTGGGAAATGCCTGCTGTCGGCCATTTGGTCTGGACCCTCCGGCAGGGAGGCGTTCACAGGGCAGAAAGGCGCTCGTTCTCAGGGCAGAGCAGGCGTTTGTTCACAGGGCAGAGCAGGCGTTCACAGGGCAGAGCAGGCGTTCTCAGGGCAGAGCAGGCGTTCACAGGGCAGAGCAGGCATTCACAGGGCAGAGCAGGCGTTCTCAGGGCAGAGCAGGCGTTCTCAGGGCAGAGCAGGCGTTCTCAGGGCAGAGCAGGCGTTCTCAGGGCAGAGCAGGTGGTCTCAAGATCTGGGAGGTGGACCTTGATTCTGGGGCTGCACTAGTTGTGTCTGGCACCTCCTTTTAAGAGGAAGCTCACAGTTGGTGGTAGGACCTGGAGGAGCCAAACTGCCCCCCACTGAGGTGACTTCCTGAGCAGACCAGGTAATTGCCGTGCGTGGCCAGGGGACAGGAGCGTGGGCCTGAGCTCAGCATAGCGGAGAGTGGGCGGAGGAAGCTCTGTAAACCTCTGAAACCAGGCCAGGTCCCCTTTTTATCTTTAAAAACCACCCTCCCCTCTGCACTCCATCCTGACTTAGAGGGTGGGGAGTGTCAGCAAGATCCTGTAACCTGACAACCCCCAGCCTCCCTCCCTCCTCCCCATCTTCCCAGCAGCGCCCTGTTCCTTCTCCCCGGGAGGCCTGGGGAGAGCCCTGCCCGCCCTGCTTTCCCAGAGCCTGGGGGACGTTGATGAACTCTGACAGGCACAGGGGGTGGGGAAAAGGAGCATTCGAGCCGGAGGGAAAACAAGCCTGGCGCATCGGGCCAGCTGCTGGGATTAGATGTCCTTTGCTTGAGTGTGCCTTACGGAGAAAAGGCGTTTCCCACTGTCTGTCTCCTGACCAGGGGACACACTGTGCCTCCCTCATCCTCCAAGCCGCGAGCACACGGGGCAGTTTGCCTCTGCGTTGTGTGACGACCCCTTTCTTCAGGTCTCTGAACAGCCCACCTCCTAGAGTGAAGACAGCACCCTGGTCGCTGATCTCTGCACAGGACACAAGGGCTCCATGTGAGGCAGGCGGTTTCTCCCGAGCAGTGGACTGCGGGAACCTGGGGAGTCCACGGAGTGACAGATCCCCACTGGGGTTCCTTTGCCTCCTGCCTGCCTGCGTGGTCGCACATCCACGGTGCTTTGCTCATTTTCAGGGCCTGAAGAACCAGGCCCGGGTGAAGCTGAACATTGTGAGGTGCCCGCCGGTGACCACCGTGCTGATCCGGAGGCCGGACCTTCGCTACCAGCTGGGTTTCAGCGTCCAGAACGGAATTGTAAGTACAACTCCACGCCCTTTTCCAAAAGCCAGACGCAAATGTGACACAGTTTGGTATTTTAGTTTAAATTTTTAAAGCTGGTCCATTCCCTGAAAGAATCCAGCAAGGAAGGGAATGAATGGGTGAAGGCAGGCTCGGCTTCCTCTTTGGACGGAGAATCTGTGCCTTTCAATATGAGGAGAGAGAGACCCTGCTCAGAGCCCTGGCCTCAGAGCCCAAGGCGTGGTGGCCTCCCAGCTGCTAACGCGAGGTAGCTTGGGACGTACCAGCTCGGGCTTCCTTCCCCTCTAGCCTTGGGGACTGTCCCCACCCTTGGGTGCTGCTGTCCCCATGCCAGGGTGTGGAGCACTGAGGGGGAGGGGGGAACTTCAAAGCTGCCAGCGATTCCAGCTCACGGCTCAGGCTGAGAACCCCACCCTATGTGCAGGACTAATCTGTACATATATATGTACATATGCATATATATATACATTTATACACATATGTGTGTGTGTGTATGTGTGTGTGTGTGTGTGTATTCAGAGAGGAAGGGAGAGAGAGAAACAATAATGAGACAGAGCCCACAACCCGGGCATGTGCCCTGACCAGGAATCCAACTGTGACCTCTTAGTTCATAGGTCAACGCTCAACCACTGAGCCACACCAGCCGGGCTGTGCTTTGCCTTTTTAACCTCAGTTGGCACTTTGGGAATACAGAGTATTTGTATCCCTTGGATGTCGACCTTAAAATACTTCCCTTTCTCCTCGTGGTAAAACGTACACATTAAATTGACCACTTAAACTATTTTGAAGCATAAAATTCAAGGGCATTAAGTACCTGCAGCAAGTGATATGGCCATCACCCTTTCTAGACCTTCTCTTCATCGCAGACAGAAACTCCCCCACTCAGTACCCCTTCCTCTTGCCCAGCATGCCTTTCTGCTCTCATCGTCATTCTGGGTTTCGGTGGCCAGTCTGTCCTCTGTAACCTCTTGATTTTCATCCTCCCAGATTAAAAAAAAAAATTATATTCTTTTTTTCTCCTTACATTTCAGTTAAGAGTTGTAGGTAATCAAAATGTTTTTTCCAGTATGTTTTAAGGTTTGGAAATACCCATTTGAAGTTCCCAGTGGGAGGTGAGACACCCAGCCCACATCGTCTGACCTCTGGACCTGTGGAGCGTTGTTTGCTTTTCGGAGAGGAGCTCAGTGACTCCTTATCGGTTTAGTCTGACATCCTGTTTCTATCCGTTTGTACTCCCGTTTGCTTTGTTCCTATTTGAATAATATGAAAAGTTCAAATAGGATCAAAAGGTTCTTAGTAGATGTGGGTCTGTCGGGCCTCATTCTCATTGAAGTGTGGTCTGCACCTTAGGAACTTCTGACCAAGGGTACCTGGGGGGCTGCAGGTCTCCACGTGCTCACAGAGCAGGAGGTGTGTTGTCACAAGAGTCTCATCTGCGTAGGCTTTTATTTTTTAAAATATATTTTATTGATTTCAGAGAAGAAGGGGGAGAGAGAGATAGAAACATCAATGAGGAGAGAGAATCATTGATCAGCTTCCTCCTGCACACCCCCTACTGAGGATCGAGCCTGCAACCTGGGCATGTGCCCTTGACCAGACTCGAACCCGGGACCGCAGGCTGACACTCTATTCACTGAGCCAAACCAGCTAGGGCTGTGTAGGCTTTTAAATAGCGGCTCACCGTCTCAGTGAAAAGTCAACTTTGTAAATTCAAAACATATTCTTCTGGGGAAATTCCGACTGTTTTGGGTGTGAGGTGGAGGTGGCTATCCCCTGCGGTGCCCAGCCCAGAACCCTCCAAATGAGGAAGTGCAGGCTCCCTTCCGCCAGCGGGCAGCCTCTGCCCTCCTGGACACAACCCTGCCGCGCTGTCATTTCTGGGAGAAGGGCGTTTGATTGGGGCACTGAGCTGGGAAGGCCGGAAGGAGCAGCTCCCCTCCAGCTGGCCGCACCCTGGAACATGGAGTGGGGTTCCAGCCCCAGTTTGGCTCATGTCACTGTGACCCTAAAAAGTGGCTGCTAGCATTATACGTTTTGTCATTTGAGCCCCTGGTGATTGTGGGAAATAAAACTCACCTGAGTTACACAGGCTGACAGTTTGAAAACGTTGGCAGCTAGTGACAGCCCCAACAGCTCTTTTTACGGAGACTCGGCTGGGATGAAAAGTAGGCAGGATTCCGCGTGCGTGAAACCCAGTGCCGTGCAAAGTGCACGAAGGAGCTGGCCACGTGGGCGCACAGAACCGTTTCCTGTGAAGAGCAACAAGGAGATTTAAATGCACGAAGCCTGCCCGTGGCAGCTTCTCGGAGATGAGAGGGCGAGGAGCAGGGCCTCCAGAAAGGACAGGCTCTGTCCCCACCCAGCTCCCCGCCCACGAGGGGTAACCTGGCCTTTGTCTCCGACAGATCTGCAGCCTCATGCGAGGGGGAATAGCCGAGAGGGGAGGCGTCCGCGTGGGGCACCGGATCATCGAGATCAACGGGCAGAGCGTGGTCGCCACCCCCCATGAGAAGATCGTCCACATCCTCTCCAACGCTGTGGGGGAGGTAGGCGTGGGGGCCAGGACTGGGGTCCTCTGACGCCTGGCACCTCGGGCCAGCCCTGACCAAGCCTGAGCGCTCAGCAGCCAGAGCAGTCTGTCTGTCTCAGACCAGATTGGAGAGTCAGTGATGAGAGGTCTGAGAGCATCTCCCTGAGACAAGATCAAGTCCCCTGGAGGGTGATGTGCTCACTTTCTCTTTTTTTAAAATTTGGTACAGTATCGTAATTGAATATCTGTATGCGTGACAAACTGATCACCCCAAAAAGTCTAGTCCCGTGGTTGGCAAACTGCGGCTCGCGAGCCACATGCGGCTCTTTGGCCCCTTGAGTGTGGCTCTTCCTAAGCCTTAAGCGTGCCCTAATTAAATTAATAACAATGTACCTACCTATATAGTTTAAGTTTAAAAAATTTGGCTTTCAAAAGAAATTTCAATCGTTGTACTGTTGATATTTGGCTCTGTTGACTAATGAGTTTGCCGACCACTGGTCTAGTCCATTCATCACCATGGGTTGACGCCCTGCCCCTCTGGTAACCACCTCTCTGTCCTCCGAATCTGCATTTGTTGGGACCTTGAGGGTAGAGTGCTAAGTGAAAAGAGTCAAAAGGAGAGAGGCAAACAGCATTCGATCTCCCTTCTACGTGCAATCTGAAAGGAAACAAAGCAAAACAAAACCACCTCAACGCCTCCTATTGGCTCTGGTTTGTGCAGCTTCTCTCCTCTCCTGGGCTGCCCAACTCTGTTTCTCCCCAGCGAACCTCACCAAAGGTGCCTGGGAGATTTAAGTCTTAGAGTCAAGTCTCATGAGCAGAGCAGGTCTCCAGAGGGGGGTCCCTGGCAGGGGCTGGGCCCGGGTCAGAAGGGCTGTTCCCAACTCATTTTTTGCACCACCCAGCTGGCGGGGAGGGCTGCAAGAGGAGCAGTCAGCACCCGCAGATGCTTACTTCCATTTTAAGGATTCTCTCCTTTTTCCACAAAGGCCCGATGAGAACAAAAGCACTTGGCTGGGAAATAAACCTGACCCGGTCTTCATGGCTATCCTGTCCCGCCTCCCCCTAGCTTTCTAGAAAGCCTGTGGATGCAACTTTTCCTGGAGGCAGGTTCCTGCTAGCAGTGGGGTGGAGAGGAATCTTCACACCCACCTCCCCCTGCCCTGGGCCCCCGAGCCTCCGCCCCTACTAACGTCTGCCTCTGCCCTCAGATTCACATGAAGACGATGCCGGCTGCCATGTACAGGCTGCTGACGGCCCAGGAGCAGCCCGTGTACATCTGAGGCCGCGCCCACCGCCCGGCGCTTGCATGGAGGACTCTCCTCGCTCGTGGTTGTGTTTCTCGTGCTGCATCTGTGTGCCCACTGAGACTTCCCCTCGTGCCCAGCATTCGGTCTACACAGGAAGGAAGGAATCCGTCAAGACTTTGCTCTCTGTCTCTCTCCTGTTTACTTTTTTTTTTAATACCAGGGAAGTTTTGTATGCACTCCCCTGAGGATGGAGAGCAGCCAGTATCCACCTGGTATCTGCCCAGGACTGGACTGTCCTGAGGGCCCTCGGGGGCTGGCACCGCCCAAGGGGGAATGCTCCCTTCCCAAGAGGGGCCGGCCTCTTAGAGGAGCTCGGAGGACAGCAAGCAGCTGACTCAGCAGTGCCTACAAGCCCATCACTGATCTCTGCTCTCCTCGAGTAAGTGTGTGGGAATACAGTGGTGACATACCAGCCCACCATGTACGTGGGGCACCATACATTATTTCTGCCCAGAATTTCTGAGCCGACCTAAGGCTCCTTTTATAGTTCCAATTTCAACACAATTGTTTTCTAATAGGAGCCCCTCCCCCAAGGATGTCACCATGTGTTGGCAATTCCTGGGACATCATAGCTTCTGGGTTGTCTTGAGGTTACACACTGTTAGATGAACGTGGGCAGGTGCTGCCTGCCTCCATCCATGTCACCCACCTGTATGTACACACAGTCTCACATATATATCACCCTCCCCTCCTCCCCTCCTCCCAGGAAGCACACAGAGCCCCTGGAGAACCCCCATTACCTCTGTGTGAGCCCCCCTCCCCTGGCTGCTGAGACCCTGGGGCTGGTCAGCTCTGTCCTGGGAGAGATGCCCTTCTGTGGCTCAGGCCCAGCCCTGCCAGCACCATCTGGGCTCAGTGTTCTGGTGGCTCCCCTTCCACACACACACACACGGAGCCTGGGAAGGCAGGACTGCTCACCTGGAAGACGGGGATGCAGGTGCGTTTGTGTGACATTTGCTCCTCTGCTCGGGGCCACTAGGCAGTATTCGACCTGTGAACAGCCAGGAGAGCACATAAACCACAGAACTAAGGGGACAATCATGACCTCAAGCTATGCCCGAGTCCCCAGCATGCTCCCGAAACTTCCCCTTGCTGCCTCGTGGGTCTGAGCGTTTAATCGGTGTGGAGTGTTACGTGTTTTTTTTTATCAGGTGCCTCATGTGTATGAGTCCCGTCTCAGTTCGGTGAAAATATTTTAGTAATTTTATTCTGAGCCAGTTTTTACTTATTCTTTGGTCCAAAGAGCATTTTGTTTTCATGTGGACGGGGTGTGGCTTGGTTTTTGTTGTGTTTTGTTCATGACCTCCGCAGAGACGGGGAAGAGAGAAACTAATATATTTTATAATATTAATATAGTCCCTGTTCTCTGCACGTGGGATATTTATGTTGTGCTTGTGGGAGCAGGAAGTCGGTGAGCACATGCTGGGTAGTATGTATTTATAGATCGAATGTGGAGGGGTTTCAGGGAGGGAGAAGAGCGAATATAAAGATGAGGAACAGGAGACTTGGACCAGACAGCTGTGTTCTGTCTGTTCTCTGGGGATCTCTGTACCTTCTGAGTTTTCTGCCTGAATGTTTCAAAGCCATCAGTGGCGATGGCTCGCTCGGTGTGTGGTCAGAGCGCTGGGGAGGAGGGGCGGCACCTCCTCCAGGGGAGCCGGTGGGCAGTCAGGAACCCTGGGTCCCGGTTCCCACTTTCCAACTGTAGAGTGGCTTGGCTGGTGCTGTAATGAAATACTACAGAGTCCTAGTTCAACGTCCTCTGCCAGAAAGAGTCGTGAAACAAGAATGCAGCGGCATGGGTGGCATTTCAGGCCTCAGGAGCCTGAGGAATCCTCGGAGGGCTCACCCTGTCTGCCCCCGGGGTGACCGCGGGGCCACCTGCCCAAGCGCCTGTTCGGAAGCCGCCGAGATGGGCCAGGAATGGAAACTCCGCTAGCTTGTCCCTCTGCAGCCTCCCAGTAATTACAGTGGTGTGTCTTCACCCAAAGAGGGAGGAGAGAGAACCCCCTTTCTATGCTACTGCACGGAAAACTTAGGAAGTTTGCCAGGGGCTGGAAAAGGCAACTTGATAAGCTCGCCTAGAGGAGTGACATGGCCTTGCCTACGAGGAGGATCGTTCCCCACCACCCTCCTTCCTGCTAAGAGTGGCCCCGCACACACAGCGAGCACATGTTTATGAGCTCAGCACATGGTCACCCCCCGAGGGAGGAAGTGCAGCTCCCTTTGGTTAACCGGGAGGCAGGACCCTACATGTTAGTAGCTCTGGTTTTGGAAGCCCCATGGGAAGTGGTGGTCAGTGTCTCCTGACATTCCAGTATGAACAGTTGTACATGTGAACATCTGGATACCCATGTGATGGGCAAGACCATGCACCGAGCATCCCAAACATGGCCTGGGCGCAGAGCTGCTCCATGAGGCATGCTGATGACTCCCAGCTTCCCCACTACCCCCGCCCCTGTGCTCCCTCCTGGTCCAGCCAGCATGCACCGGTACCCACCCCACTCGCCTTCTCAGATGCGAACATTTCAGGGAGCCACCATCAGCCTCGGGTTCCCAAGTGGAGGAAACCCCCAAGATCGATGCCTGGAGCCCCCTCCCCTCACTGGAGCAGGCTCTGCGGGGCCTGGGGCCCCCAGGGGGCTGGACTCCAAGGCTCTGCTTCGTGAACATGACCCATGCACACCGGCCTCTGAGGGTCCCAGAGTAACCTACTACCTCCCCCATGGCTCCCGTCACCCCCACGCCCCATCCGCACACTGAGGACACCATCCAGGAGCCAGGGGTGTGGCTGTCACCAATGTTTACAACCAAGGGCCACCTCCCCGTACACCTGTTCACTCTCCCACTCACATGCCACTTGTTTTGTGATTATCTGTCTGCTCCTTTCCTGGTTTGGCCGACCTACACACACACACACACACACACCCTCAAGGCAGCGCAGAAGGAGGTGTGGGAAGGAGGTTTTGTGTACATACCCAGCACAGCCCCTTCCAGGACGAACCTGTACTATTGTTCTGTAAAGAGGGTAAAATAGAGCTTATTGTAAAGCAGTGGGAGAATATAGTATTGTATTTGTACCGATATCGTTCTTTGTATACACAGAACCCAATGATCTCTATATATAAATATAAATAAATATATAAATAAAGTATATATA